GATTTATTACAAATATTCATTTTTTCAAAATCATTTTCATGTCAAACCAATTTATGCAAGTAATGAATTTATGAGAAATACTTGAGCTTTATGCACTTACTAAATATTGACGAGTTATACCTTTACATGTATAAATGATGTTCGATAAATAACTCTATCTTCAATGTTCTTGATCTCTTCGAGCCTCTCTTTGGCTTGTGTCTTGATTTACAATTTTGTTAAGTTCCAATTTGATTGTCACATGCAAATCACTATTGTCTCAAATGATTTGTCTTGAATGCTCGTTTTACCTTCGCTTGTACTTCATTTGAATATGAATAATAATCTTTATAAGTTTGAAAGCTTAAACACTCAATTCAATTTGTTAGTAAACAAGATGGGCTTATTTGTTATAATCAAAACATTAAGGTCATGATCAACCATAGGTCAACAATGATTAAGTCTTTTTGTCAAAATTTATTGAAGTTTGTGATTCGTGACACTTGTTCAATAATTCATTATGTGCATGTATGCTTCAGTGCAGTGAAATCTAAGTTCATTATGTCTTAATTCCGTTAAGCACCTATCATGTACTAGGCCTTTAGTCTTCTTGATGGTTGATGCGTGAATTAGGGGTGTACATGATTCTATTTAGTTTTAGTTTCAAGATAATCGAATCATGTACCAATGATTTTTTTGATAATAAAACAAAATGATTCTTTTTAAGATAACCAAATTGGAACCGAACCATTCGGTTTTGGTTTGGTTCTAGTTTTATTTTTAAAATTTTTAGACTTGCACCACATCAGTAAGTTAGTAATGCATACCTAAATAAAAAATAAATAAATATCACACTTTCAACAAGTTTAAATTATCAATCATTAAGATCACAAAAGTCCAAATTAACAAACAAAATGTAATCATAATTTGAATGCACGGATAAATTTTCATTCATATACAAAAGATTACCTAATAAGTAATAACAACGATTCACTAAACTCATATTTGACGTCACACAGTCACAAAAAAGGATGAATTATGCAAAACTTTTATAATTCACTTTTACAAGTAATCAATAACCATTTAATACTCTGTGAATGTTCATTGAATTTTCCTCTATTTGTGAAGAAGACAAATAATTTATCAAACTATCTAAGTGAAAAAATAGTTTAAAGGTTTTTAAGTGATTGACCAATTCCATTTTTTGATCTCGAAAGAGTCTCCTCACGTCAATGTGATGAAATACAGTGCAGACGTGTTGCGATTTTGTATAAATTGAAAAGGAGTGAAAGATAAATTATTAGAATGAATACAAAATTATGATGTACACAATTAATAGACTATTTCCAATGACCTGGAACCGATTAATGGGTTGCCCTCAATGTCCAATGAATACAAAATGAGGGTCTCTACTGATTAATATATATAGAAAAATAAAATTAAAAATCAAGTTTGGTTCGGTTCTAGTTCCAATTCTGGTTCTCAGTTTTAAAAATATAATCAAACCAAAATCATAGGTCCTCGATTGAAAGAACCAAAACCAATTTTTTTGTAGAACCAAACTAAACCGCTCACTTTAATTTGGTTTGGTTTGGACATTTTGTCAACCCCTAACGCCAATCATGTTTCTAGCATGGATTTTGCATGCTTTGCTGTTTAGAATAGTCTCAGTGATTGATGCATGTTGCGTTAAGCCTCGACGATCGAAGCGCAATTGTTAAAAAACACATATGGGCATGCAATTAGCCCCTCGTGATCGACGTGGAATTTCGATCGACCGTAACTGTTTTAGTATGTAACAAGATTTAGGCCCTGTTTGGTCCATATTATTTTTTTCATTCTCATTATTCTACTCATTTTCAACCACACATTTGCAATAAAATAATATTTTTCATAACATCAATAAGTTTTCATTCTTTTTCAACCACATATTTTTCATCATATCAACAGTAAAAATGCATTTTTACCTTCAAAATGTGCACCAAATGGGGGCTTACTTGAAATTTTGGTTACTTTTTAGGAGTGTTTTGGTCTAACTCTTATTAATGATTTTAGTGAAATATGGGCTTCTTTTTAGGGGTATTTTGGTCCAAACTACAAATTTTTTGTTCAAATCACTACTCCTATAAAAGAGCGGATCTGCTTTTCACTATTCATATCGTGCCCTCGGTTTCACACTTGGAACTCGTTTACTCTGCTGTTCTCTCCTATAAAGCACCGTCCCCCTCTTCACTTCATTTCACATGCAACAACCATGTCAGTTTACTCTACTTTTCCCACACAACCCTAGACTTCTTCTTTCTCTTCTCTCTTGTCTATTTTTTTCTCTCGCCATTCTTTGGTTTGTTGTAATCAATCCTGGGTAGAGTGGTACTTGTATTTTAAAAGTGGCCATTTTTAAGAGGTTAATTATATACGCACCACAATTTATTTCTTTTTCCACCAATTTTAATTGAATAGAAGACACCCAACCTTAGTTCTTTATATGATTTATGTTCTTAACTTTTTTTTTTTCGAAATCTCATCTTCAACATTTTATTAATTAACATATCTCATCTCAAAGATGATTTATGTCAAAATGTTTTATTTTGCATGCTTTAAAATGAGGATTTTTTTCCGGACTTTTGAATTTATTCTTTTTCAGAGATACGATGAGCAAATCATTAATTGTATTTGTAAGTCATTTCAATGAAATTTTTGGACATAAATCGTTATCATAAACGTGGCATGCTAATTATTGAAAGGTATATGATAATATTATGCAGGAAAAAGTTAGAGACATTTTTTTAAGCAAAACACCAACATAGTTTCGGTATGTTTTCATGCTCCACCAAGAAAGATTGATGGGAGTTAGGATTTTCCACCCATATAATAAATCAAACTCGCAAGGATAAAAAAAGAGGGACAAATATATGATATTTGGAAATAAAAGAATTTATTATATGAAGTAAATGGAAAGTATTACTTACCATACAAAGATAAATCATGTAAAAATTTCAAATGACTTCTGAAAGCTAGGAAGACAGTGTGTATATCTGAATAAGTGGTATGTAGCGGCGAGAAAGGTCGATAGGTCCATACTCCTAGTAACGGCGATGGCCCAAACCCTTTGATACAAGTGAATCGACAACCTATTTTCCTTCTTGGTAGATGTCGGAAACTGGATCTCGATTGAAAGAGAGGTGGTATCTGATGCATCTGGGAATATCTTGAGTAATCCATGGTCACATACCTCAAGTGATGCAATGAACTGTCAAGGTCGAATTTGTCTCCACCGAAAGATCTCATAACCCACTTGTCTGGAAAGTAAGATTCCTTTCAAAATAGAACGTAACCTAGTCTCAAAAGTAAGACATTCCCTAAATGAAGAAGAGAACACTCGTATGCAATGTCAAAGTTGGTCCCATATAATTCCTTACCATTGGAAAATCCAAACTTGACACATCCATCGATGTGGATCTTGTGGGATCATATCGGTGAAATACACCAAAAAACCAATATAAGGAGGCGATGAAGGACAAAGAGTTAGAGTTGATAGCCATATCCCCACTCAATGTACATGCCAAAATAAAAACCTATTTGCAAAAGTGAAAAAAGTGCCATCCAGATGATCCATCTAGGCTCTACACAAATATGCTACTACTTCACATCATTCTTTGCAGACTATAGAAACCAAAAGATCAATAGAGAAATGATAGTACGAATACGATCACAACGAACAAACCAATCAAAATATCTCCATCATTTAAATTGATGTCGTACTCTCTCACTTGACCATGTATGTACTTAGAAAATATCTCCGGAATGTCTCCATACTTAGTTAGATACAGCACTACTTGTGAATAAATATGGAATAGTCTCAACCTTCAAGCAGTACTCACAATGGAAGGCCAATTGGTAGCCAATCCTCACTTGAAGAATCACATAAACAAATACGAAATCCTACCATGATCTCCAGCAGAAGAAGAAAAGCGTCGTAGATATAATAGAGCTCCGCATTAATCGGTATGAGTCTTGAGAAGATCTACCCCGATCAATCTAGCTGCCATGTAGACTTTGTAGTAAAGCTACCAGCCGATGTATTCATTCATATAATTTGATCTGGGACATCCATACACATAGATATACCCCCAATCCGCTTTGCCATTAAGTGATGGAAGGACTTGTAGTAGACGTTCAAAATCGCAACCAGAGTAAGGGACATTAGTGCTACATAGAGTATAATTGTGGTCCTTAGCAGCAACTTAAAATGTAGCGCAACTACAAATTGTTTTGTGAATATATTTTTCATTTTGAAAAGGCCAACATGAAAATTTGACGTTCAATATTTTTTTTTTTTGAAAATTTGGACCCCAAATATTCATAATTGCATGTTAACCCTTGAAACAAATACTATTAGTTGGAGACTTGGAGTCAAAAATAATGATTTTGTATTACTTTGGTTATTTTTTTATGCCAAATGCCAATGCTATCTTTTTCAATTCAACTTCAATACTTTTTTTGAATATAATAACATAATTTTACTGTAGTTGCATATTGTAGGAAGTAGCACTTCATACCAATTTATATTTATTTTTTAGACTTCGACTCTTTAGTTTGTCGAGATCAATGTTCAGGACCAAAATAAAAAAAGGGGCTTTCTTGCAATTATTATTGCATCAATTTCTCAAATCTCAATAATCAACCATTATACCCGGAAATGATTGGACCCTACCCAATCCGACCCGTTACTTGGCCTGCATTTCCAAGTGATATTTCCAAATCGAACCGGCTTTATATTCTTGGACAAAAGTCACAAAACACGTTGTCACCCCCTTCACGTCGACACTTCATTTCACACACAGGAAAAACTCCTATCAAAACCGAAGAAACTTCTCTAATAGAATCGCACACGAATATTTCCACTCATTTTTTTCAAGTTTCACTTTTTAATGGCCGTTTTTAGAGGGCGATCGTTTATTTCTATTCAGATTTACTTATAAAACCCGTTACTCGGAACGATCGGTATTTAATCTGTCATCATGTTCGAAGCACATGTAAGAATTTTTATTTAAATTTTTGTTTTTTTTTTAATTTTAATTTCTTCACGCTCAGATTCATATAAAGAGTTACGAATTGCTGGCACTGACTCCTTGAAAATTTGTTTATTTTTGTTTGATTATGAATTTTGAAATTATTATTGTGTATGGAATTGTCAGTGCATTTAGCTATTAGTAACAGTTTCAGTTTAATGTACTGACTTATGATATATTGATGGAAAAATAAAAGAAGCTAGATGATGGCAGTGACAACTTTGCGCATAATTTGGTCAGTAGTAGATTTTTGAAAGTTATGATGAAATGACGCTGATAATTGGCCAAATTTCTTAGCTTTAAAGGTGGAGATTGTGTTGTGAATTTGATCATGGAATTGTGAAATAATTGTTGTTTTATGGATAGCCTTTTGATTTGGATTATATCTAGAAATTTGATAGAAAAAGAGTAGGAAGCATATTATTAAGCATTTTGTTGTGAATTTGTGACCAGTTCTGAACATAAGTCGACATAGAAGAATTTTATTGATTGGAATACAGAAGAGCTATCTAATGGAAGTAGGACGAAGAACCTTGAAATAAATAAACTGCCCCGTCCAAAATCCCATGCTGCCATTACAAGAAAAACTAATAGATAGACCACATGATTTTTGTATTTTTATTTTTTGGAATTAACAAGTATTAATCAAACTTTAACCTAATTACTCTTGGAAGCCCATGTAGTGCCTGTTCAGCTGGTGGGATCATGATCCTTAACATGGGAAATGTAGTTCAAATCTCTGTCATATGATGCATTCAAATAGTAAAAGGAAAAGAATAGCTACTGATGCTATTTCAGATGCAAATGCATTTCATATGCAGCTTAGTATTCATGTTGTCACATGTTATGCAAGCTTGTGTAGTAATTTCTATCCTGGGTTAGAACCCCTTCCCCAGTATCCCACTGTTGATACTAGTGATTTCTTAATTTCTGGAGATACCATCATTTAACACATCCTGAGAAAGTTTGCACATCTATTCCATCAGTTGTCTAGTTGTTATCATGAAAGAAGTTTTTGTAAATTGGTTATCTTTAAAGTATGTCAATTGAGCTGGTTTTGACTAACGTTATTGTAGGTTTTGCATTTGCTTCGAAGATATTTGGGCGAATATGTCCATGGACTGTCGTCCGAGGCCTTGAGGATTAGTGTTTGGAAAGGTTTGTATTGGCCTTCTCTTTTATTTTTTAAATCTTATGATTTGTTTATTTCATCCTATTCATCAATCCCACTGTTGTTTTGGTCTTTTCATATCTACGCCTATGAGTTCTGCTCTAGCTTTGTACCTCTGATTTTTTCAACTCTATTCTTCAAACTTGAAAATTTAAATTAGAGAGTATAAAATCTGCATTTTGAAAGATTTAACATATGAATAAAAGGTGTCTGTTTTTAACGATCAACGGGGCAATTTTTCTTTTGCAGAGAAGTTGGATGTTTGAATTTTTTGATGTATCATGTAACATGCCTCCTGTCTTGCCCACCCTCATTTCCGAAACAGTTGGCACTTAGACTAACCTTTGTATTACCTATAAAAAGAGATTTTGCATTAGCGCGTATCTGTGTCTGTATTTGCAGGTATCTAGCCTACACGTGTTCATATTTTTTTCTTCAATTTTAAATGTCAATCAGAGCCAATAATGTTTTACAGACATTCGTGGGACATCTCTTTTAAAATTTTGTGTAGTTTCCTTTCTTTTAACAGTTGTTACGAATGGTTATTGGGTTTGTCATTCGTGCCATATGGTTAACCTTCGAGTTCACTTTGTTCAAGTTTCTGTTCTTCTGGTGCCATTTGTTGGCACGATTACAAATCTCACAATACATTTAATCGAGTACAAAAAAATAATAACAACTTTAGAAATGAAACAATTTTTATTGGTTAAAAAAAATTGGATTAGGTTCTGGAAAATGAGTAAAATCAAAGGGAAGCAAGATTAGCAGCTGGTACTTCAGCTGCTTTTATGGTTCTCTGGATTTAAGTTCTCTTGACTCAACGTAGCTTTAGATTGTGAGAATTGCATTAATAATGGTTTTGTTGGTCAAATTGCTTTTCTTGCAGGTGATGTAGTTCTCAAAGACTTGAAACTAAAAGCAGAGGCGCTGAATTCACTAAAACTTCCTGTTACAGTGAAAGCTGGTTTCCTTGGTACTATAACATTGAAGGTAACTTTTTTACTCCTTTGGCTGCTGTCTGGCTAGTGACTATACTAGAGATTTTGCTCGATCATTTCTTTACATTATGATGTGTGTCAGGCTATTACTCTTCTCGTGGAGTTTTATTAACTCGAGCAATAGTTGATAGTATCGTTACGTCATATATGTTTTCTTCTCTCTAATAGAAATAGATGCACTTGCTTTAATAAATCAGGGAAGATATGTAGGTTATTTTTCCATTTTATGTAAGAAATCTGCCTAAAAACTTGTCTAGTGCCACGCGTTTTCTACAACGTGAATTTATGTCGCAAGTGTACGGTGTCAAGTTTTGTAATATAATGATCGAGTTAAAGTGTCGAACCCACAGAGATTGTAAATCAATTTTTACCAAGTACTATATTTGTATAACTTCTATTTTATTTAGACAAATGATGTATGGTTGAATGATTGTTTTAAACTAATCAAAAGTAATATGAGAAGACAAAATTGTAGAACATAAAATTATCAAAATGAAAAGACTAGGAAATGATTTCACCAACTTTCAATTATGATTCAATGACATCAAATTATTCCAATTAATTTTTCCATATTT